GTGAGCCAGGTTTCTGTTAAGGCCATGATATCAACGTTCTCATCAAGGATGAGATCGTTGATGACCAGGGCCTTGTTGCAGAGGGAGCGGACATTTTGCAGTCCGATGTGGAGGGAGCGGTTGACAGAAGGGTGTGTGGGAGGGGAGGGGGTCCAGGTTGTGAGGCAGGGGTGGGGGGAATGGGGATGAGGGAGGAGAGGTTGACTCCCCGGGTCTGTGTCCGGGGTGGGTGGCGAGTGTGGTGGGGAATGGGGCAGTCGGTGTGGCTGCTGCTGGACAGCCAACGCCGAGTGCCACGGTGAGCCCGGCGGAGGATTCCCAGGCTGGAGCAGAGGGAGGTTGTGGGAGGGTCAAGTGGGGATAGAAGACGAGAGGGACGGAGAGAGAGGAGGAGAGAGCGGGAGAGATGCAGAGGGGGGAGGGTTTGGGGGGAGAGAGGAGGGGGGAGGGAGGGAGGGGGTGAGGGGGCTCGGGTCAAAGCGGCAGCCATAGTGCGCACGCGGGGACCGGGAGCGAGCGGTCAGGTGGATGGCATTATCCCGCAGATTGGGGCAGCGAACCCAACAGGACCATAGTGGGCTCTGAGTGCTGGGGGAGAGGGGGGAGGGCGCAGAGGTTTTTTTTTGTTGCGCGCGCACTCACCTGAAAACTAATCTATGACGTCGCAGTTCCCCCGCTCCGCCCCCATCCCTCCCCTCCCCCCCGGGGCTGAACTCGCTTCGGCGTCGAGTTTAAGTACCTGGGTCAGTAGGCCCAGGCTCCTCCCCGCGCTGTCCTGCCGCCGCTCCCCTCACACAGAGGATACAGTTCAAGATCCTGGTCATCAACTTCAAAGCCCTCCGCATTCTTGCTCCCACCTACCTCTGCGACTTCCTAGCCCACTACCATCCTGCCCGCTCCCTCCGCTCGGCGGGCTCCAGCCTGCTTCACGTCCTCGGCCTCGCTTGCCCCACGATTGGCGGGCAGGCCTTCTGCCACTCTGCGCCTTGGGACGTCCTCCCGACGTGAAAGGCGCTCTATAAATGGAATCTTGTTGTTGTTGTTGCCCCCACCCTCTGGAACTCCATCCCGTAGTCCCTCTGCCTCGCCCCCTACATCGCCACCTTCAAGACCCATCTCATGGCCTTCCTCTTCCACCGTGTTTTCGATCTCCCTGCTATACCCCCCCCCCCCGCCCTGCACCCTCCCCGTCCCCGACCCCCAGCTCGCGTCTGTAACTCTGACTGTCCAGGGCCTTGGGACGGCCTCCCGACGTGAAAGGCGCTTTACAAATGTCATTTTGTTGTTGTTATTGTTACCACGTGTTTGAGACGTCTCAAAGCGTTTCACAGAATATACTGTCACATGGATTAATTGCGTGTGTTTTGTGGGCGAAACGCGGAAGCCAATTGCGCACAGCAATGTCTAATTTTCTTCGATGCCAGCAATTGAGCACCAATAAAAGCTGGGCAGCTCCGAGATACTTGTTCAAAAAAGGTTCCCCATTTCCTTGCTGAGCCTGAGACTGAACCTGAGCCTGAGCCTGAACCTGAGCCTGAAGCTATACCTGAGGCTGAGCCTGAGCCTGACCCTGAAGCTATACCTGAGCCTGAGGCTGAGCCTGAGCCTGAAGCTATACCTGAGGCTGAGGCTGAAGCTATACCTGAGGCTGAGGCTATACCTGAGGCTGAGGCTGAGGCTATACCTGGGGCTAAGGCTGAGGGTATACCTGAGGCTGAGGCTATACCTGAGACTGAGGCTATACCTGAGGCTGAGGCTATACCTGAGGCTGAGGCTGAGGGTATACCTGAGGCTGAGGCTATACCTGAGACTGAGGCTATACCTGAGGCTGAGGCTATACCTGAGGCTGAGCCTGAGCCTGACCCTGAAGCTATACCTGAGCCTGAGGCTGAGCCTGAGCCTGAAGCTATACCTGAGGCTGAGGCTGAAGCTATACCTGAGGCTGAGGCTATACCTGAGGCTGAGGCTATACCCGGGGCTAAGGCTGAGGCTATACATGAGGCTGAGGCTGAGGCTACACCTGAGGCTGAGGCTGAGGTTATAGACCTGAGGCTGAGGCTGAGGGTATACCTGAGGCTGAGGCTATACCTGAGACTGAGGCTATACCTGAGGCTGAGGCTATACCTGAGGCTGAGGCAATTCCTGAGGCTGAGGCTATACCTGAGGCTGAAGCTGAGGCTATACCTGAGGCTGAGGCTATAGACCTGATGCTGAGGCTACAGCTGAGGCTGAGGCTATATCTGAGGTTGAGGCTGAAGCTATACCTGAGGCTGAGGCTATACCCGGAGCTAAGGCTGAGGCTGAGGCTGAAGCTATACATGAGGCTGAGGCTATACCTGAGGCTGAGGCTATACCTGAGGCTGAGGCTATGAGGCTATACCTGAGACTGAGGCTATACCTGAGGCTGAGGCTATAGACCTGAGGCTGAGGCTATACCTGAGGCTGAGGCTATACCTGAGGCGGAGGCTATACCTGAGGCTGAAGCTATGAGGCTATACCTGAGGCTGAGGCTGAGGCTATAGACCTGAGGCTGAGGCTATACCTGAGGCTGAGGCTATACCTGAGGCTGAGGCTATACCTGAGGCTGAGGCTATACCTGAGGCTGAGGCTATACCTGAGGCTGAGGCAATTCCTGAGGCTGAGGCTATACCTGAGGCTGAGGCTATACCTGAGGCTGAGGCTATAGACCTGAGGCTGAGGCTATACCTGAGGCTGAGGCTATACCTGAGGCGGAGGCTATACCTGAGGCGGAGGCTATACCTGAGGCTGAGGCTATACCTGAGGCTGAGGCTATACCTGAGGCTGAGGCTATGCCTGAGGCTGAGGCTATACCTGAGGCTGAGGCTATAGACCTGAGGCTGAGGCTATACCTGAGGCTGAGGCTATAGACCTGAGGCTGAGGCTATACCTAAGGCTGAGGCTATACCTGAGGCTGAGGCTATACCTGAGGCTGAGGCTGAGGTTATACCTGAAGCTGAGGCTATAGACCTGAGGCTGAGGCTGTACCTGAGGCTGAGGCTGTACCAGAGGCTGAGGCTGTACCTGAGGCTGAGGCTGTACCCGAGGCTATACCTGAGGCTGAGGCTATACCTGAGGCTGAGGCTACACCTGAGGCTGAGGCTACACCTGAGGCTGAGGCTGTACCTGAGGCTGAGGCTGCACCTGAGGCTGAGGCTACACCTGAGGCTGAGGCTACACCTGAGGCTGAGGCTGTACCTGAGGCTGAGGCTGTACCTGAGGCTGAGGCGGGTTCAGGGATGACAGTGACGATGTTCCAATCGCACCGATCTGTTCTCCTGCGGATGAGGCTTCGGCAGCGCTCGGCTGTCCATTGAGGAGCGCCCCCTCCCCCCTCCCCTCCCCCCCCCCCCCCCCTCCCCCCTCCCCCCCCCCCCCCCTCCCCCCTCCCCCTCCCTCCCCTCCCCCCCTCCGCTCTGCACATCGGGTTTATCCGGAAAGTCGAGCCTTTGGAGAGTGTTACATCGGGAGCTGCGAACAGCGGTCGGAGCTGCAGCCACTCGCTCTTCATACCGACTACAGCCCGACTACAGCCCAGCACAGCACAGCCCAGCCCAGCCCGGCACAGCCCAGCCCGGCACAGCCCAGCCCGGCACAGCCCAGCACAGCCCAGCCCGGCACAGCCCGACTACAGCCCAGCACAGCCCAGCCCGGCACAGCCCGGCACAGCCCAGCCCGGCACAGCCCAGCACAGCCCAGCCCGGCACAGCCCGACTACAGCCCAGCACAGCCCAGCCCGGCACAGCCCGACTACAGCCCAGCACAGCCCAGCCCGGCACAGCCCAGCCCGGCACAGCCCGGCACAGCCCAGCCCAGCCCGGCACAGCCCAGCACAGCACAGCCCGGCACAGCCCGGCACAGCCCGACTACAGCCCGGCACAGCCCAGCCCAGCACAGCCCAGAACAGCCCGACACAGCCCAGCCCGACACAGCCCAGAACAGCCCGGCACAGCCCAGCCCGGCACAGCCCAGCCCGACACAGCCCAGCACAGCCCAGCACAGCCCAGCCCGGCACAGCCCAGCCCGGCACAGCCCGGCCCGGCACAGCCCAGCACAGCCCGGCACAGCACAGCAAAGCACAGCATAGCCCGGCACAGCCCAGCCCAGCACAGCCCGGCACAGCACAGCATAGCCCGGCCCAGCATAGCCCAGCACAGCCCGGCACAGCCCAGCCCGGCACAGCCCAGCCCAGCACAGCCCGGCCCGGCATAGCACAGCCCAGCCCGGCACAGCCCGGCACAGTCCAGCCCAGCCCAGCCCGGCACAGCACAGCATAGCACAGCCCAGCCCGGCCCAGCCCGGCACAGCCCAGCACAGCCCAGCCCAGCACAGCACAGCCCGGCACAGCCCAGCACAGCACAGCCCAGCCCGGCACAGCCCAGCCCAGCACAGCCCAGCCCGGCACAGCCCAGCCCAGCACAGCACAGCCCGGCACAGCCCAGCCCGGCACAGCACAGCCCAGCCCGGCACAGCCCAGCCCAGCACAGCCCGCCCGGCACAGCACAGCACAGCCCGGCACAGCACAGCCCAGCACAGCACAGCCAAGCCCGGCACAGCACAGCCCAGCACAGCACAGCCCAGCCCGGCACAGCCCAGCCCGGCACAGCACAGCACAGCCCGGCACAGCCCAGCCCGGCACAGCCCAGCCCGGCACAGCCCAGCCCGGCACAGCCCAGCCCAGCACAGCCCAGCCCGGCCCAGCCCAGCCCAGCCCGGCACAGCCCAGCACAGCCCAGCCCAGCCCAGCCCAGCACAGCCCAGCCCGGCACAGCCCAGCCCGGCACAGCCCAGCCCAGCCCGGCACAGCACAGCCCGGCACAGCCCAGCCCGGCACAGCACAGCCCGGCACAGCCCAGCACAGCACAGCCCAGCCCGGCACAGCCCAGCCCGGCACAGCACAGCCCAGCCCGGCACAGCACAGCCCAGCACAGCACAGCCCAGCCCAGCCCAGCCCAGCCCGGCACAGCCCAGCCCAGCCCAGCACAGCCCAGCCCGGCACAGCTGCCAGAGATGGATATCTTAAATGAGGTGAAGCATTGCACTGATCAGATGCCGTCGGGTATCTGTGTTAAAAGAAAAATTGCGTTAAGCGCTCCACGTTGATATATATATATATATATTAGATATTATATTTGATATATCTCTATTTACCTCATTTCTGAGACGCTGTTTGTTTGTTGGCAGATTGTAGCATCGGGTACATTTCGTGCCGCGAAGGAGCCTTTGGGTTTTGTGCGGGTTCTGGAGTGGGTAAGTTTCCCGGAAAATAATGTTTTGATTATTATTATTATTATTATTATTATTAACAAGAGACGCGGCAAAAAAACCAACAGAACAAAAACCCGATGGGTTTCAAACGCTCTCTCACTTGTTTGACTTGTTGACTTGGTTGTGAAGTCGGATATTGCCTATTATTTTGGAGGGAATTGTTTAGACATTTAGACACAGATTACAGACAGACATTTGGGTTTTCTTTGTTGGGTTCGAGTCGATGTATTTGGTGACAATATGAAGCCAAACACCGCGCAGGTCACAGCCACTGTCTCCTTTCACGTGTTGTTTACACCTTTTGAGCTGTGGTGAATGTTTGAGCAAAACAAACACGTTTTCCCGAAAAAAATGTGTTTTTCTAAATAAAATAAAAATAAAAAGTCGTCATATTCTGAGAACATTTGGGATACTGGAGATCCACTCCGGGAAGGTTTGGACTTTAATATCTTGAAGAGGAATGACGTTGGATCAACAGAGGATCACATAGAAACATATGTGATATGTTCCGCAGATCCACGTCTCGTGTTTAGCCATTTTATGCATTTCCTTTTTAAAAAAACAACTGTGTCCTCTGCAGACCTGTGGTTTCTGAGCTTTGCCCCTGTCCTTTTGTCTTGTTTTCCTTCCGTCCACATCTCTGATGTTCGAGCATTCAGATGCGATCTTCGTGGCACAGAACTTAGATTCCAATTCACTTGTTTCCAAAATAAGGGAAAGGGACAGAGCACAGAGCACAGGGCGCCCCGCTGCCCCGGGGCCGGTCATTTGCTTTGCATTTAGGTTTGTCTAAAAAAAAGCGTGGGACTGACATTGGGATCCCAGCGTCCTCGGGTACAAAAGTATTGCTTTTGGAAAAAAATAATGGATGATGGCGTTTATCCAGAAAATAGGGCATATTTTTAAGGGCTTCACATTTGTAACCTCGCAGAGTCCATCACTGTGTGCACATAGATGTGAATGCTGATCTCTGCCCTGGTCAGACTCCAGCAATCTGAACTTCCTCCCATTCCACACTCCACATCACCTGAGCCTCGGATTTAATTTTTAGAGAGTTAAGTGTGAAATTAAATTCTGTTCAGATCACAGTTATTTCATAATTATTTCATATGTGGAAACTCAGGACACGTGTTTCTTGAAACTGGTGGATTTTACATCGTGAAAAGTCTTCATATACTGGTAGATCAAATGGGATAAATGGAGTATTTATATTATTTGGCTATTGGTGGTGATATTATCTGGTCACGCGGTGTGTTGTTGCTGTTGAGTGCCCATAATTTACACATTGAGTACTTGAGTTGACCTCAGTTATTAGATTGATTTGCCAGAAAGTGAAATTCAATTATTTGACTCTTAAATGGAATCATCTGATTATGTGCTTATAAATTGCTTTCAGTGATTAATCTGATCAAAGTGGTTGTTTTGCATAAGGTATAAAACAGTTTTATTCAAGTATATATGTATAACAACCTGAGATACTACAAATATTTTAAAATCCTTTAAAATGAATAAGCAATAGCTCTTGTTGGTTATAAAGGAAACATTTCCATCCTGTAAAATGAAATTATACTATTACCCTAATACCTGAGCAAATAATTTTAAAGATACTTGTTCTGATTTTAAAAAGCCTCCATGTTTTCATCTGTAACTCATATACTGTTCAGTTTTATTTTTTCTCATGCTCTCTGCTCTTCCACTTCTGGTAATCTACCATCAGTGGGGAGGATGGAATAGGTGCAGTAACCTAACTTCTAGGACACCCTTTCAAATTTTCTCTCCTGGCTTTCTGCCTGTAAAATACTTTTAAAACCTATCTTTTTGATTAGATCTTCAATGAACATCATTAAATCTTCCTTTGTCCATGTGTACAGCGCCTTAGGATGTCCTCCTGACGTGAAAGGCGCTCTATAAATGGAATCTTGTTGTTGTTGTGTTAGGGTCACCATTATCTGTCAAGCACTTTGAAAGGTAAATTCTTTGTTAATGCACTAGCAGTTATAATTACTGAATATAACTTGATACTAGTATTCTGTTGAACACTAGAATAATTAATGAATTAAAAGTTTTAAAATAGCCAGCTTCCCTTTTTGGATAAAAAAATTCAGGGGTTTATTTTCTCTTCCATCTTAGGCCAAACCTAATAACATCACTAGGTCTGTACCATGTCTTCTTTGCACCTTGGGACATCCTCCCGACATGAAAGGCGCTATACGAATGTAATTTGTTGTTGTTCTTTGAATTGTACAACAGTGATGGTATAAACATTTGTACTGTTCAGCAGGCCATTGGCTGCCATTGGAAAAGAAGCCAAGCTTGCACTGCATTGCACCTGAGTATAACCACCCAATAATTAGTGTCATAATGGCAATACCCATTGTGCTGCAAAGAGAACATGATTTAAGGATGGCTGAAGGTGCAAGACACAAAATTTCAGTATGGTTTTTACATTGAGTTACATAGAATGATAGAATGAATGGAAACATGTCATTTGGCCCAACCAGCCCATGCCAGTGTTTAGTCTTCGTGTGTCTCCACCCCTCTCCCCTCTATCTCCTCACTCATATATGCATCAAGTTTCCTTTTGAAGATATACTTAATGCACTGTTGTGGATACAGCGCTGGACAGTAGGTCTAACAAATCAAGCAATGGAATAGGGCCACTAAAGGTGGATTTGGGAGACAACATGATAAATAATGCTGCACAGGCTGGAGTAGTGCTAAATAAGTTTTTTGTATCAGTCTTTACAAAGGAGGAAATGGGTAACCTATCTGCTCTGGAAAGAGAACTCAAGGATGTCTCAGAGAAAAGTCGTGACACTATTCATATCACTAACAGCATGGTTGCCAAACAGCTATGCAGATTTAAGGTAAATAAATCTCAGGGGCCGGATAAATTCATCCGAGGATCCTTAAGGAACTAAGGGAGGAAGTCGCAGAAATGTTGGCACAAATCTTTCAAAAATTACTGGATACTGGAGAGGTGCCGGGGGACCGGAGAATGACAGATGTTACTCCTATGTTTAAAAAAGGTAACACTGGTGACCCAGGAAACTACAGATCAGTAAGTTTGACATCCATTGTGGGTAAAATTATGGAGACTCTTATTAAGGATAAAATCATGGAGCATCTGGACAGAAATAAAATCATAAATGACAGCCAATATGGGTTCATGAAGTGGAAGTCTTGCCAATCTAATTCACTGGTTTTCTTTGACAGTGTGACAAGGGAGCTTGATTAAGGTGAGGCTGTGGATGTTGTATATCTGGATTTCATTAAGGCCTTTGATACAGTTCCTTTTGAGAGGCTGGTACTGAAAGTAAAAAAAGCACGAATCAGTGGAGGCATATTACAATGGATATGCAACTGGTCGACCGGATGAACTCAGAAGGTGGTGGTACAGGGAATGTTACCAAACTGGGCAAATGTTACTAGTGGAATTCTACAAGGGTCTATTTTGTTAAATATTTTTATAAATGATCGAGAACTAGGAATCGCAAGCACATTGGCTAAGTTTGCAGATGACACCAAGCTAATGAAGGTGGTAGATTGTGAAGCTGAACAAGATAGGTTACAGGAGTATTTGAACATACTTGGGAATTGGCAGATTGGTGTCAGATGAAATTCATTGTGGAGAAATGTAATTGAAGCTCTCCCAACAATGCTCTGTGGCAGTGAGTAAAGCAAACCAGATGTTGGGATGTATCAAAATATCAATAGCAAGCCAAAATAGTGGGGTAATCCTGCCACTGTATAAATCATTGGTGAGACCATACTTAGATACTGTATACAGTTCTGGTCATGCAATACAAAAAAGATATTGGAGAAATTGAGAAGATACAGAGGAGGGCAACCAAAGTGACTGAGGGAATGGTAGGACTGGACTATGAGGAGCGACTAAGTAAATTTTGCATGTTCACTCTGGAAAAGAAAAGGTTGAGAGGCGACATGATTGCTATCTTTAAGGTTCTAAAGGGGCAAGACAATATAGATCACGACAGGCTGTTTCAACTTCTCCAGAATAATAAAACCAGAAGACACGGCCTGCGACTCAAGGGGGGAAATTCAGAACGAATCTACGCAAACACTATTTCAGTGAATGAATAGTGAACCTGTGGAGGAGGAAATGTTGATTCTTTGAAACACAGATTAGATAGGTTTCTTTTAGGAAATAACATTATGGGATATTGTACATAGGTAGTTTGGGACACATGTGCATGCAACCGCTAAGAAGGTGGAAGGTGAACTAGATGGACCTTGGTCTTTTGCCATCTAGCAGTTCTTATGTTCTTAGAAGGTGAGACCATGTAGTCATTCACTTCATGGCTGTTTATGGAGCATTCCTGTGGGCAAATTGGCTGCTGCTTTTGCCTGTAAATATACATTTGTTACACTTTACAGGGAAACAGTTCCTATGAAACTCTTTGAAATGTTTTGACAGTGTGATAATGTGCTGTATCCAATGCAAGGATTATTATTAAAACATTATGTATATATTCATAACAAGAGTTACAAATACCAACTTATAGTATAACAGAGCAGAATTCTTGCAGGTTGGCACGGCAGGCTTCTGATTGCCGCAGAGGTCACAATACATAATTTGGAGTCACTATTTGTGACTCCTGTTTCGAATAATATTTCAGACCTCCGTATGATCAGCAGTGGGATAAGGTTGAGAAGAAGTGATAGCACTAAACCTGTGTCTACGGTATCATTTAAGGAATGGCCATTTCCATCCCTGTCATATTGAAGGTTTATAGTTCTTACTCATTATAATAATAATAATCCTTGCATTTGATATAATCCTTAACACATCCTTGAGTCCTGTAGCTCAGTGGTTAGAGCACTCGCTTTGCAAGTGAGAGACCTGAGTTCAATTCCAGGCAGAGGGCGAAACCTTGGGCAAGTTTCCTTACTCCACACAGAGCCTAATAATAATCCCTCCAAAAAAAAAACCAATAATTAAATTGGTCATTTTCAATCTA